ATTTTCTAGTTGCCCTAAGCAAGTAGAAGTTGTTTTCCTTCTTTTTCTTTCTTTATTTGCATAGAAAATGTAATACTTTTCTCTTCTGCAAAGCTCTATAGGAGAAAAGGGGGGGGGAATGAATGTTTTCTATGACTTTTTCATGAATAAAAGGTTTCCAGGTGGTAAACTTCAAAATCAAAGTTTAGAATTTGTTACAAAATAAAGAGTCTATATGCAGTATATATTGTTTAGTTTGCCTGTTTTCCCAATGTCTTGGGAAAGGAGAGTGTTCTTTGGTTTTCCTAACATTTTCCTTTTAATTTTTTATGCTAGGATTAAACTGCCTTGATAATAAATATCAAAAGTTTCCAATTCATATTTTCCTGTTATCTCTCCCCTTGGAGGTACAGTGGCAGTAAAATGAATGAAAGAATGAATTAAAGCAAGATGAATTATTTTCTACTTATCTGACATATACTATGATTCACTCTGTATAAAATTGCCAATGGATAGTTCCAGGACTGTGCTACTTAGGGTTTTATAGAGCTGAGTCAGCTAAACTGAATTAATGATTGATTTCTAAAAGCTTCCCTTAAGTAAACTTAATCTATTTTTTCCTTTTTATATCCTAGGTGCCCAAACCAGTAGATTATTCTTGCCAACCCTGGTAAGTATTAAAAATGTTTATGTAGCTAAGTTGAAATACCATACCCTTAGCTCGAGGACGCCTTAAATGTGGGGGTAGTAAACCATATTCCATTTCCATTTGTTCTGGATATAGGTGTTTTCAGATGCAACAAAACATCATAATGAATTTATATATTGCTGACTTTTCCATATCTTTATCAGTGGGGTGTGTGTGTGTGTGCATGTGTGTGTAAGTGTGCATGCACATACATGTGTACTTAACTGTAAACTCAGTTTGTAACAGCCACAGAAAGGAATAGGACATAGGCAAATATGTATCTTGTATTTTAGAAAAGTAGATTTCATGAAGCAGAGAAAAAAACATGATTTCATTGTCTGAAACTAAAAATTAGCCCAGAAAGGCTAGTAGATCCTAAAACTACAATTTATAACATGTAATATGGGAGAAGCAAGATGTAGTCACATCTGACATTTGGGATCTATATGGAGCTCACTTACCACTTGGAGGCTAATGTTATCATTAATGGAAACAAGAAAGCAAAGTGGATAGTAATCACTTACTTTTTAGACATAAGTTTGAGGAGACAGTGATATCTTCAACTAGGAAAATATCTATATAGGATCCAGAATATTTAAGATTGTCATATGACAATAACTAATATACAGAGAGTGCCCAAAAAATGTAGACACATTTTAAGAAAGGAAAAAACTGTATTAAAATTGTAATACTCAATATATACCAATAAAAAAAAATGAATACAAGTCATGTGTATACAGTTTTTTGGGCACCCCCAGTATACTGAGTACTTACTATGTGCTTAGTATTTTACGCATTTTATTTCATTTTGATTTTCTAACACGTCTGTAAGGAAGGTTGTTCTTATTTTTTTTATATATGAGGAAACAAAGGTTAAGGCCATGCAACTAGTAAGTTAGAGCAGGATTCCAAGTTATGTTGTCTGTACATCTATACCACCTGTTAAAGTAAAAAAAAAAAAAAATGTGGTCATAGTCACTTATTTATATTTGTTTCCCTGAATTTTGTGTTTGGCTCCTCTTAAAATGACTGCATCTATTTTCATTTTCTTGATGTTGAAGTATATGCATATAAATTAAATATCAGGATATGTATATAAATGGAATATTCTGCAAGTATATATAGTACTAGTTCAGTTTGCAAATGTAGGGAACACCTGAGCTGAGTGACACTTTTAAAATATTCTGATTATTTTCTGATATATAACCATAGTGTGGAAAATGTCGAATTACTGCAGGAATACATTGTGTATAGGGTGGGATTCTTCTCATCTGCTCTCTTGCTGTCTCGGCAGTCACATCGCCTTTTCTAGTCATTATTTGCTTTCTCTGTCCTCTCTCTCTGGGCTGCAGCACTGAGCTTGCTGAAGAGATTGTAGCAGGTTTGTGTTAGAACTGGGAAACTTTGCTACATTTTTACCTGGTTTAAGGCAAATTGGAGGTCTTAGTTTCCATGGAATTAAAAACTGTCATTCTGACAAGAATGAAATAAGTAAAATAAAGATATTTTCATAGACGTGAGGCCTTCCGAGTACACATGGGATCATGCATCCATTTGCAGGAAGCTGAAGGGTGAGCTTGCAAACCAAGAAAGAGGGAGATGCAGAATCCAGGAAAGGGAAGCGAAGGGAAGGCCCAGGACTACGGCGACGCCGCAGGCTCGGACAGAAGGCCGTGCTGATTAGCCCAAGAGGGTGGAGGGCGCAGGAGGAATGAATGTCTCCATAGAAAAAGTGAACAGATACAGTACATGGTGTTGAGAAATGTATCATTGAGGGGTTTATAATTCCCTTGGAGAATTTGGAAAGAACTTGTGATAGAGACAAAGATGCTTGAGCAAACCAAACCTTAAAAATTAGTTTTTTGGATGTTAGATGTTCTTTGAATGTAACAACGTGACAAAACTAGGCCAGACAACAGCCTGGCTTTGTAGATGTTACAGAAGGGAGAGTGAGCAGCAGCACTAGGAAGGAATGAGCATAAGTGGAGAAAAAGTGATTTTCCTTCCTGACATCTGAAGTTGATACATTATGAAATTGTGGTTTAGTCATGTTATTTAGAAATATGCAAGTGGAAATAAGGAAAAAAATAGGTAAAATTATTGAAATGAGATGTTGAGTAGAATGCTGATAACTTGGGCTAATGTTGCTTTTTCTTTAAAATTATTATAGCATGGGTTGACTTTTTAAAACTATGTTCATGTGTCACTCTGATTAAAAATGCATATACTATATACTAATTGTGATAAGTGCCATGAAGGAAAAGAGAGATACTGTGATGAGTGTCATGGTGTGGAGAGTGAGAGTTGTGGGACAACGTTCTTCAGATGGGATGGCCAGAGAAGACCTCTCTCTCAATGACGAGAATGATGAGAAGGAATGTGTGTCGAGAGAGTGTTTTCCAGCCTATGAGAAGACTTAAGATCAAAAAGAGCTTGGTGAATTCCTAGACCTGAAACTGAAGAAGGGGGTTGTAAGAGATACGGTTGAAGTGGAAAGTGTTATTCAGATCATACTAGGTACTAATAATAGTTCATGGGTTGTAATAACTGCTTTTAACATGAGGTATCATCTACATAAAATGCCCTTAGCTTTTCTGCCTTGGTGGAAACCTCACATGTCCCCCTTCAACAAACTTCTGTTGAATACTTACCGTGTGTATTTTAAATAAATATTTAGTGTAGATTAGAAGTGGGTATTTACACTGAGCTACATGTGTCTACATGTGAATCAGAGAATTTTCTGCAATATAAACAAAAATGTTTTTCCTTTAATTTTTATTGGCCAAAATCTCTGATATATTTTGTCAGTAAATGCTAAGCCTCTATGTGATGTGAAGGGTTGCTAAAGAATATTTCACATTTGAACTTGGGCCTTTTATTATTGTGATTATTATGGAATTTGAGTATATTTAAGGCCAACATAATTTAGGAAGAACAGAATTCTGGTTTTGAGAAATATCTGTCTTTTACTCATAAATATCTATCTTTTACCCATTACTACTAATTGTTTAAGAAAACTGGTTATCAAATTTGTGGACTATAAGAATTAATCTTATATCCAAAAAATAATCTAAAAAAATAATTTAAATTGTTGCAGGAGCTTCCTTTAAAAGATGCTCAAAGGAGATTTCATTTCATAGTATGCATAGAAAAGGTGAAGCTTTTTGAGTTGTGTGTGTGTGTGTGTGTGTGTGTGTGTATGTGTGTGTGTGTGTCTTAGTGTCTTAGGCAGGGCAGCTCTTCCCTACACTCTCTACAACTCTCATCCTCAAACTCCCTACAATTCTCTTTCTAACCTAAGACCTACTGGCTCTTCTCTTTGTCCTATTTATTTGTTTGATAAGTATTTTCTGGGAACTTACTGTATATTAGGCACTGTTCACTTTACTCTTGTTAGCTTTGTAGAGCATTTGTGCTTGAAAGAATTAAAGGACTTTTCTCTGCATTATTTTTTTTGAAGCAATGTAATTAGTTGGTATAGAAATAAAAACAGCTTATTCTGCCACTGAATTACCCTGACAGACCCTTATTTTTAGCCTCTGTTCTCTTCCAGGTACATTACCTGTATTTTCTGTGTCATTGTTTCTTTCAGGTATGCTGGAGCAATGGAAAGATTGCAGGCAGAGAATGAACTTATCAATAGGGTAAATAGTACTTACCTTGTGAGGCACAGGAGCAAAGAGTCAGGAGAATATGCAATTAGCATTAAGTAAGTAGGACAAGTACTTTTACAGAAATAGATTTCCTGTTCTAATTGCATAGACATCTGACATGTGTAACACTGAAGTTGAAAACCAAGGTTCTAATTACAGTAGAAATAATGCATCTATCCAGACAGTTCATTAATACTTGAAAATATCTGTTAGAAAAACAGTACTATGTGTTATAGGTTGCTAATTGGCATATTGCATTTCTTTCATAACATTGTATTTTGGTGACTTGATGTGTGTATGTTTTTAGTAAAATCTAAGAGTATAAATTACTAGATGTTGTTTTATTTTGTGTTTCTGTATTCTCCAACGGAACTTACTAAACAAATTGGGCATAATGATTGGTCAGTCACTTCAAATATTGGTTGTATCTTCAACCAATCTAGTAAATATATTTTGTTAATTAGCTGTCACCGGTGTATTGGCATAGGTATACATTTTCTCTTCAGAATTAATTCCTATAATGTTATTGGGGTATGCCCTCTGGTAACTATTGATTTCTACTGATTAAAAACACATTTATATTCATAAGTTATTCATTGCCCACAGGTACAATAATGAAGCAAAGCACATCAAGATTTTAACAAGAGATGGCTTTTTTCACATTGCAGAAAATAGAAAATTTAAAAGTTTAATGGTAAGCATTGATTAGCTCTTTTCAATCTGTGGTCCTTATTTTTCTCTTATTAGATAGGTTAGTTTAATTCTGTAGTTTCTTGGAAATTTTGTTCCCTAAAAAGTTGTTTAAAGGGGATCATATTATAATTTTGCAGCAAATCCTGAAAATTTTAATTTTGAGAATTCCAATTGTTTTATGTTGCCCTAGTCATATTTTTCATTATAAACTAAGTTTGCAAGTTTTGGGTACTATTTCAGAGTCTACACTATTTGTGAGTCAGAGTAATAGACAAATTCAAATATAATCAACTTTCAGTTATTCGTGTGAGTTTTGCCTTGTGTTTCATGAAGCTCAGCAAATGTTTAATATCATCTCTTCCCTCCTCTCCCTTCCTCTGCTTCTATAGCTCCTCATTCAGGCAGAGGAAAGTATTTTAAATTATGGCATAAAGTTGTAATTGGTAAAATACTTCCCACATTTAGGTTCATTTCATATAAACTGCAACATAATGTCAAATGAAAAAGCTTCTAGTATTTCCTGCTATTTTAAATGACCTGTACTATGGTTTTCCTTCATTACCTTGGACAATTAAACATTAACAAGGTAACATTTTTACCATGTAACAATTGCTATTTCACAGGAACTTTATATTTAAATTGAAATAGCATATTGTTACCATGTTGCTTTAAATGAACATAGATTAATAGTATGTACAATTAAAAATTACAATTTAATTTTATTAGTGTATAAGAATATAAGCTATATATCATATAAACAATGCAGATATGTCATTATATGTGCATTGCTGATAGTAAAAAGTTCCTATTTCCTTAAAAGTGATCTCAAGTCTGTTTCTGAAGTTTGAGAGAGTTTTCCAGGATAAGGAAGAATTTGGATATAGGACATCAGATGCATTTGGAGCACTCTGCTAAGTACTTTGAGTTACATTGGGGAAGGACCACTCATTGATTGAACAATCAATCAAATGATACATGCTGCATCCTTCCGGAAAATATCTCAAAGCACTTTGCAGATGTTAACATGAAAGTTATAACTAAGTATATGAGAGCTTTACAAAGCAGACCAGCTTGAAAGCCTTATCTCAAAATTTAGAACTGCTGTAAGGCAGGAATCCATGTTTTAAAGAAATGGAAACATCCTGAGTTGGAAGAAAAGTAAGAAAGCCTCTCTGGACATAACTACCACAGTGCCAATCTAAAAGCTCAGGACGGGCGGCAAGAGCATGTCCTGGCAGATGGAAACGCTGTCAGATTGGTGGCCAAGATGCAGGCACCCTCCCTGCCGGAAGTGACTTACGTTCTGTTGGAAGCAGCAGGCTGTGCACTGAAAGAACTGGACCTGAGGAGGCTCTTCCTACAATGTAAACCTAGGAGGGAGGTGGTGAGTGGAAGCACAAATAATGAATGACAGGCCCAGCTGAGACATGATAAAAGCATGCACAGGGCGTCTCCTCCTCACTGCAAGACACCCCAGCTTGAGTTTGCACCTGCAGAACCTCCGTGGATGGTAACGAGGCTGCTCCATGGTGTTCTAGTAAATATGAGGCTTAAAAAAAATGCTGTGGAGCCAAAGATGACTGCCAGCCTTGCCGACTGTGCAAGTAACAAAAGGAACTCCCATCAGAGGAGACAAAGAGGATGAAAGGAATAGTCACTGGAAAGGGCCGATCAATTCAGCTTTGTGTCACCTGGGTCCAGCTCAAGAAAGTTCTTCAGCAACTAAGGTTAGAGGTGAAAAGCCCATAATGCCACAGTGACCTGGATTAGTGGACAGATCCTGGAGCTGCTATCTGCATAAAAAGCACTAAAGACCCAGAATCCAGATAATTGGTGCCAGAGAGGAGTGAAAATTTCTGCACTGATGTTCTAGAAGTAGAATTAAAAGTACTTGTCACAGAACTAAAATAAGCTCCCCTTATATGGTATGTGTGAAATATCAGAAATGCCACTGCTGGAGACACGTGCATATTATGTTTTCCTCCATATCTGGGGATCTTTTGTGAGGAAGCACATAGCACAGTGGGATAAAGGGAGGGGATTAAGAATAACAAAAACTAAAATGAAACTACAAAACGTTAACCAAAGTATATACAGTCATATACTTTGTATATGTTTGTATATGTTTGTGTATACTATGTATATACTTTGTATACTTTGTATATGACTGAAACACGTAAATATGTTTCAGTCAATGGCAGACCATGTGTACAACAGTGGTCTATAAGATTATCATGAAGCAGAAAATCTCCTATCGCTTAGTGACGCCGTAGCCATCCTGACGTCATGGGGCAATACATTCCTCACGTATCTGTGGTGATGCTGGTGTAAACACACCTACACCGCCAGTTGTATTCGTAGATGTGTAGCACATACACTTATATACAATATACAATACTTAATAGTGATAACGAATGACTGTGTTGCTGGTGTATGTATTTACTATACTATTTCATTGTTATTTTAGAGTCTACTGTTTATAACAGAATGTTTGCTGTAAGACAGTATGCCGTGTTATGCTGGCAGCAGCCTCATACATTTGAAGTCTCGACTGCATCATTTTCTCTTGATTTCATCTCAGGCCATATTGCTCATTGTGGCCCCGAACGGTTGGCATGACGAAATCGCCTAAGGACGCATTTCTCTGAACTATCCGGGTCACTAAATGACTCATGACTATATCTGTAAAAAGGAAGAAAGACAAGGAACTGAAAAATCTGTCTTAGAAAAATACTTTTGTCAGGTTTAGCAAATGACAGTAAAAAATGCTGACGAGATAGTCAAACTAGCCTGGAGCTGCCCTTGTTCTTTGTTTCTGTTCATTCGTTGAACAAATTTTTATTGAGTCCTTACTATGTAAAAAGCACCGTTTTTGCAGAATTCAAAAAAGACTCCACTATTCTAAAAATGCTTTTAAATTGAAAATCCGTCTGTACCAAGAACCTCACAAGGGTGCTGTCCTTTGAACCTGAAGTGGACAACTTCATGGATACTGAATCAGAAAGGATGGCTCCTATGGTAACCGGCCCCTTCGGAAGGAGATTGAATAGGCACCATAGCCTTCACTCGGGCAATGCAGGGCTTCTTTCTCTAAACCAGGATCACACAAGCTCCAGCAGTTACCTTTTATCATATCTGTGTCAAATAGCACAGTTCCCGTTCTAAGTAAATAGAGTCTGTGATTTTGAGTTGTTTCTTTGTAATAATTTGACATCCTCCCATCATTGGATGGTAAAGTTATATTCCTCTACCTATGAAACTCATTAGGGCCTGGAATTAAATTTTAATTTGAAATGGATGTAAAACACAATCAGAGTCCAGCACTTGTTTTAAATTAGCCAGTTTCTCAAAGAGAAGATGGGCCTTAGGTGGTTGTGACCTCAGCTTTTTCTCTTGGGTGTCAGTAGCTTCGTTAATCAAAATCTTTGTTTTTCTTAGTATTAAATTCAAATTCTAAATGAATTTCTGTATCCAGATTACAAGGCATTAATTTTGTTCTAATTTTCATGTATGCCAGACAATCCATATCCAAATGTTGTTTATAAATCATCTCCATGGCCTGTTTCCTTGGTAATTGGAATGACTGGCTCTCACTCAGTATTTTTTAGAGAGACTTGGATTGTTGACACTGCTGTGTCAGTGTGAGATAGGGAGAGCTTAGTAATTCCTTTGTTTAGAGTCTTCTTATTTACTCGTGGTACCTGAAGGTCAATGACTGCTAAAGCAGGGGTGGATTAGACTAAAATACGGAAAGCATAATAAAAGTATAAGTTGGAAATGATCCACAGTGACACTATTTAATTCTACCCAATTAGAAACATGTAGAAAGATTTACCCTCTTAAAACTGTAAAAATGGAACTAAAATAGCTTCTATGCTTAGTGAAGTGATAAAAAAGTGTTTTGCAGCTTACTAGTTCCCATGACTCTAAGCCTTGGAAAAGTCATTTTTTCTTCCATAAAATTTGGAGGTGGGTAGGTATTACATGATCCCCAACTCCTTTTCAATATAATAATTCTAGGATTTCTAGCCAACTTCTCATAAACTTTAATTCATATTGCGTTGTCGGAAATGTCGTGAAGCATTTTTGCAACGAAAAACATAGAAAAAAATACGTCATGACTTTTCCGACAACCCAATACAAATTCATAATATAATATATAAAATCCAAATTACCTATAACAAAACTACATCGAAATTCAAAGTTATTGGCTTCTAATTACTTTCAAGTTTAGTTTTGTATTTTTGATAAAAGAGCATATTTTACTCAGCTTAAATAATATGCCTAAAAGGACAATTCTCTTGTATCATTTGCATCAGCAGCACAGTATACATAGATACAGTGCTTTGCGACCTTACAAAATTTTGCCTTTTATTTTATTTTTTTCATTAAATAATAATATTGGTCTCTAGAATTTAATTCCATACCTTGCCTTTGTAAACCATGTTCAAAATCAGTGTAATACAAATGCCATACTGTGATCATTGAAGCCATTTTCAGGGTATAAACATTTATCTGTTATCTTTCTTTTTTTTTTTTAATCTGTTGATCTTTCTTTTTTTTTTTCAAGTTGACTCCAAGTTCCAAGTTTCTTTGCTTCATCAGGGATCCCGACAGTCTAGTTCCAGGGAAGGAAGAAATACTTTATTTTTAAAGTTGCAGGTAGAATGTGTGTAGAAGCCTAGCATCTCAGGTCTAAGCAAACAAAGTTCCTGGTACATCATGGATGCTTAGCAAATGCTCCTTCCCTTTTGCCTCCATTTCTATGTACTTACTTTCTCCAGGAACTGTTTGCCAGTAGTGTGAGGTAGTTGAGGGCACACCTTTGGAGACAGACACCAGCTATAAGCCCTTGACCTCACTGAGCCTGAGCATTAAAGGGACAAGGCCTATCTCTTGTTTCTTGTGTGAAGATTGGGAGAAACTATATAAAAACCCTGGTACATGACAGCATGGGAGCTGTTTTGATATTCACACAGACCATCCTTGACTATAGTCTGTGAAATGGTTTGTTTTCTCCATTGTACAGAGGAAGGAGTTGACAGTTTTCCGTTTGCTTCATCCAGCGCCTCAGCCCCACCATGCTGCTTTTCATTTATGAATGTAGTCTGTATCACCTCGTGGCTGTTTCCAGCCTGACTGCTCTACTTAAAATAATCCTTTCCTCCTCCCTGATTTTTGAAATTTCACCTGTCCTTCACTTTAAGCCAAGCTCTCTGCATCATGAAATCTTCCCTCATCCTCCCCACTGAACTCACAAAAAATAGCTCTCTCTCTTGCCTTTGAACTCTCATAACCCCTCACTCTCCTTCAGGGGTGAGAACTCCTAGTTATCTTGTGACCCCTGGAACTCCCTGCATAATGCATTCCACAACTCATTGAGTTTTGTCATAAATGATTAATAAATCATTGATGATTCTCTTTTCTTCTTTTGGGTGATTTTTGGCCCAATTCATTTTTGGGGGGAGCTTTGAACATAAGCACCGAATGGAGGTATTAAGTTGATATAAGTGTGATATTTTAAGAGGTGAGTTGCTTTTACACTGCTTGTAAACAATAGTTTACAATAGAAATATAATAGAAACACCAAATAATTAGGTTAAAAGTGATTTTACTTTGATTTTAATTTAAGGTATTTGTAAGCAATGTTCTATCTATGGTACTCATCTAATAATAATATACATTGTTTTCATTATGAATTTGTTATTATTTAATTTCTATTTAAAGTAGAGGGATTCAGGTTTGTGCAAAATCTATGAAACCAACATCTCAAAAGAAATTTCCTGAAATTTTAGTATGAAAGATGGTGGGAGGTTATTATATTAGGCTTGGATGTATTTAAGGCAAATTAGGCATTAGAGAAAGTTGGAAAGAACCCCGTTATTAACCTCTGTAAGTACGAGAGGACATGCAGAGCTATGAGATAGTCACTAACACTTCATCGGAAGCCAGAACCAATGTCAAGTAGCATTTGTGGTTTATCAACTTTGGTTTAGCATGGAAAAGGACCTCTAGAATCAAGTTTGTTTTTCTGTGATGTTGAAAGAACATGCAGGAAACTAGAAATTGCTATATATTCAGCAAACAGCTGTTCCCTTTATTTTTGTTTACAAAGGCAAGTATTTCATAAATAAGAACAATAATTACTGTTCTGAAATTGAGGTTTAGTATGGTTTCTTTTCATTTACCACATCCGACTAAAGCCTAACAGGATGTTCTCTATCCATGAATAACAATAGGGGTAACTCACATTACAAACACCCGAGTAACAAGGACTGTCACAAGGTAGGTGTCATGTACATCCATCCAAGCAGCAGGGAGCAATTATTATTTACTCTTCCATATGCTTATGGGAAATTTAACACTAAATTGGTTATCCTTATATGTATAGAATTATGTTAAGGACTTCATGTGTTTGAGAGCAGAACTCTCTTCATCAAAAATGATCTTTTATTTTTGTTTTTTCCTATAGGAACTTGTGGAGTATTACAAGCATCATTCTCTTAAAGAAGGATTCAGAACCTTAGATACAACTCTACAGTTTCCATACAAGGAGCCAGAACATTCAACTGGACAGAGGGGTAACAGAGCAGGCAACAGCTGTGAGTATTGTAATTTAGAATACAATTTGCTGTCACTTAAGGATTGAAGGCACAATAATATTAAACATCTTTATTCCAAAATTTGAAATATACCCAATTAATATGCTAATGAGTTTAGCAAGGAATTTTTCTAGCTAAGCAGAATCAGACAGACCAACTGGTTTATGAACAAGTCGAGATATGATTCTTTGGGCCAAATTGAAAATCATCTTTGTGTTCAGAAATTCATGAGAAATGTAAAGAGTATGTTAATATGTAAGTTTTGAAATTTTCACTGACTTCTGTATTAGCCAAACTCTCTTTAACTTTCACACGTTGGTGGTCATTATGCCATTTGACTTAACACTATTTAAGTGAGGCTAGTGCACAGCTCTCCCATCTAGCTTCCTATCCCAAACCTGCTTATAGTTCTCTTTCAGTGATTACTTTTGGAATTTTTTAACTGACTAAATCATGTTTCCTCTGACGCCAGAATTTCTAAAAGTATACATTAGCCACTTTTTTTCAGAATGAGTACTGTGCCACCACTATTCACCAAAGATTTACACACAAACCAAAAGAATGTTATAGTTTGAGTGAGAGTTCAAATCAAAAACTTTTTTCTCGTCACCATTTAATGTCACATCATCTTCCTGGAAGTAGATATAGCATGTAAAGAGAACATCATGATGAAAAATGTTGTGAGTAAAATGTGATTTCTTCTCTTATTTTGATACCTTTTTTTTTAAAATAAAACTGTTTTGAAGGAGAAATGACTATGAATACAACTTTGTTACCCTTAGAATCCTTAGCCTAAGCAAAACTAGAATACCTAGAGATATTTCAAGAAAGAATGTCTATCAGTGTAATGTAACTTGAACTTTTTTTGCCCCCTAAAAGCAGAAACTGGAAAGGAAACAGGTAATGTTCAGGGCTCAAACAACATCAGTAAAATTTCATACCCTTCATATAAGTAAATACACAAGTAATTTGTCACATCAACTGACAGGTTTGTGTGTTTTTATTTGAATAACTTAATAGCTGTTCTCTTCTCAAGGATCAGTGATAAATGACCAAGCTTGTGCAGTGAAAGTTGTCAGAGCACACTTTGTGTTGAAACTTTGAACTCCTATTAAAAGTTCTCTTTCTCTCTCTCTCTCTCTCTCTCTCTCTCTCTCTCTCTCTCTCTCTCTCTCTCTATATATATATATATATATATATATATATATATATATATTTAGCCTAATGTTACCCAATTTCTTAGATTCTCATTTAGGTTGAAGAGTTTTACATTTTTATGTAGAGTGATCAGAGAAGATAGCACTCATAAAGTGACCAGGAAGAAGTAAGGGAGTGAATTAGTACTTCAGTCAGCAATAATTGCTTAAGGTTTACACTCCACGATTATTCAGTCATTACAATGGAACAGGATTATAATCTTAGATGGAATTTCTGGCACTGTCCCAATGTTTTATGAACTTGATGTTGACTTTGTATAAAATAGGTATTTTCTACAACAGTGGCTATCTTATAAACAAGTATAATGGTATTGTATAGAACACTAGGAATAAATGAGATGTCACATATAAAGCACTCAGCATGGTGCCAGCACATGTAGCACTCAGGGAAGGTCAGCTGCTAACTACCATTTAAACCACTTCAACTTTTACTACTGCCACAACTGGTCACTCCTAACACAGAAAACATTGTCGTGTATTTGTAAGAGTTGACGAAAAAATGACTAATTTTAACTCACAGCAACATATATCTTTGCTTTTGTGACTTTTTAAATATGCCTTGCTTATTTCATACCACGCTCTGATTAAGGATTAACCCTTAATTAAAACATCGCTTCTATTTTTCGGCGTGTCGAGCGTCTCAGGCAGCGGTAAGGAGGGGATGCTGCATATTCTGCGTAGCAAGAGCATTCAGGATGTCTTTATGGCCCTTACCTCTGGTTCATAGGTTGGGTATGCTGCTAAATATCATCTAAAATAAGTACCCAGACGTCTTCCCTGGGGAGACTGGATTGGACGCTGACACAGAGCCCTGCCGTCCATGACTTCTAAAAGGCTTCGGAAACGGAAACCTAGTGCCACCCTGTGTTCTGGGTAGAGGTTGAGGTTGACGTTCCAACTCCTGAAACCTGCTATTTATTACTATTTCTTTCTTAAATAACATAGTCACCCTGGGAACAAAAGTCCCAGGGCATTGTAGAAGACACTGCTTGCTTGTTAGCCCAGGTCAGAGTGTTCTTGGGCAGATTGCCAAAAATGTTTCAGGTTTGTAAAATATGATATGATGATGACAGAACTCCCTCATGCAAATGCAAAATAACATATAAAAATAGATTGATTAGCATTACACAGGAGTCCAGAGTATCGGGCAAGGAGCACAGAGCAGTTCTAGGTTAGGAGACTTTATTTTTGCCTTTGGAATGACTTAGTGTTTCCAAGAGAAGAAGAGGAGAGAAAGAAGGAGGAGAGGACAAAGGGAGAACTCAGGCATAGCAGTGAGCTGTTGTGTTTCCCTAAGAAACCGCAATGACTCCATCCATGGAGGAGGTGCCAGTCTGCTCTGTGGAACCACGTAAGGATCCCCTACTGATTCAGGTGTACCCGTGGGCTTGTGCATGTGAAGGGCACTGCAGTGACCTTTGTGCCTTTCTTGCTCTGCAGTGAGCACTTAATTATTTTCAGGTCTGCTACCGAGTAGCTGTCTGACCTCAGGCAAGTCCCTTAACTTGTCTGGGCCTCAGTTTTTTCATCTAATGAATAAGGAATGAGATTAAGATATGTTATTATATTCTTTTCCAGATAGCATCTTAGATTTCTGGTTTTGTATGCATGAGAGAAGGAAGTAAAGCAGAATGTTAATAGACCAATTACACTAGGAAAAGTTGCACAATTAGCTATTTTTTTGGTCTTAAAAAAAAAACCTTTCACCTTTTATTTGTTATTTTTTAATAGTTCAGTTTTTCACTAACCATCATCTCTTCACACTCGTACAGCACATTTTCACATTATCTACAAAATGATCTTTTAATAAAACCTTCCCTACATCCTGTATACTTCTGTTATGGGATTTATCGTACAGCTACATACAGTAGAGACCCTGTCCTTACACATAACATTCTTCTTTTCATCATTGCTAACACTCAGAGGGCAGCTCTTAATGCCAAGCAGTGAGATAGGTGCTTTACTTACATTTTGTCCTTTAATCTTTACAGTAACCCCATGATGAAGGTAGTATGTTAATCTCTGTTCTGTAGATATGGAAGCTGATACATGGAGAAGCTCTGTAATCTGCTTGTGTTGATTCAAGGAAGGAATGTCGGGAATTGGATCTTAGCCCAGGCTGAGATCTACTCCCAGACATGGGCTTGGGCTTGTTTAGAAAAATATGACCTGGTGACATTCCGCTTTAGATTTCTGCTTCGAAGGAGCCAACTCTTTATGTAGTGCTGTGTGTGTATGTGTGCGTGTGTGTGTGTGCGCGTGTGTGTGTGTGTGTGAGTGTGAGAGAGAGAGAGAAAGAGAGAGAGAGAGAGAGAGAGAGAGAAATTGGGTGTCAATTTATTAACAAGAATACACATTTAAACTTCATTGCACAATTAGATATTTCAAGACTCATAAGCAGACCTCAAACATTTTTCCAAGTGCTTATTTATGGAGCATTAGTTTGACCACAATGTAGAGATGGCTAACTTAAAAAAAAAATGTTGGTTGTTATTATATTTAGATAATCTCCAAGTATTTTCTCACAACTATTAATTACAAAAGGAAAGATGGAAACAACTGAAGTGATCACAGTTAACATCACCAGTAATAGGACCAGTAGATAATTGTGTACCCCCAGTGGGATTCCCCAAGAACACACCACCACTTTGATGACATTCCTGTTCCACAAATACATAATTGGTGTATAATTATGAGGAAACATCAGACAAACCAAAATTGAAGGGCATTCTACAGAATAATTCGCCCATCCTGTTCACAAGTGTCAATGTCATGAAAGATGAAGAAAGACTGAGGAGTTGTTTCAGATTAAATGAGACCTAAGACACATGACAACTACATGCAACATGTGATCCTGGATTGAATCCTGGACCAGAAGAATGTCCTTTTTTTGCTAAAAGGGATATGCGTGGGAAATTTAACAAGTTTTGAAGTTTTCTGGATTCAGTAGTAGTATTTTTTTGCTTTTGATAATTGTACTATGATTATAAAAGAAGAAAATACATTTGCTTTTAGGAATTATACACTGAAATATTTAGAGATAAAGGGCCTTATGTCAGCAACATATTCTAAAATGGTTCAGGAAAAACTCAGAAATTGATAAAGCAAACATAGTAAAACATATGAAACATATGAAAAGTTTAAGTATATGGGATTTTTTTGTACTTTTCTTGCTACTTTCCTTTAAATCTGAATTATTTCAGGATTCAAACTTTTAAAATTTGGCGATGATCCCATTAGTTGAATAGGTCTGACAGAGCTGATTTACATTGTTTTAAAAGATCACTGGCTACTCTGTGAGGAGTGGCTTGGAGGGAGGCATGGGCAGAAAAGAGATGAGTGAGGAAGCTATCACAGATGTCCATGGGAGGCATGATGGTGGTTTGGACAAAAGTTGAATAGTGCCAGTGGAGCAGGACAGTGGGCAGATTTGAATATATTCTGGAGGTTGAATTGATTGGATAAAGGAATTGGGGTAGAATTAGTACAAGTATGATACGCAAGTATTTGCCTTGGACAACTGGCAAATGGTGAAACCCCTGACTGACCAGGAAAGAGAAGAGGTATAACAGGTTTAGAGAGAAGGTGATACATTCAATTTTGCACAAAATTTTAGGTACGTGTGCATACTCAATGGTTCAGCAGGCAGTTGGCACCAAGAAGAATGGTCTGGGTTGAAGATAGAGTTTTATGAATCATTAATACTGCATTTCATACCATACATAGAACATTGTATAATTTGTGTATAGGTTTAATGATTTCTTTTGGTGCCTTGTTCCCAGA